ACCGGCCAACCCGATCAACTCGACTTGAGTTGGTTGGTTTTCTAGTATTTTAGGTTGGATTTGGTTCAAAAATTTCCAATTTCGACCAAGTTGGATCAGTTTCACTTTGGCTATTTGTAAACCGACCAAAATCGAACGACTTAACCATGGATTATATTAATATTTCATATTTTAAATATAATTTTTAATATGAAAAAATGAGAAATTTCTCATTTTTCTTAGTCTAAAATGTTTTATATCATAAATCTAATTTTTTAATGTATTTGTTAATAATTGTATTGTAATTTTTAAAATTAAATTTATTGTTTAAATTTAAGTCTTTTGAACCGGCTGACCAAAATAAAAAATCGACCCAAACCAATAAAACTTGAGTGAATCAATTTTCACAAAAAGGTCAATTGGTTTCTGTAAATTTGAAAAATTCATCATTAAAGAAGACTCTTCTAATGCTCTATATTGAACACGGACAACAGTTTTTGGTTTAGGCATCTATTCAGCACAATACCTATAGTGGTGAACTGGTGATGTAGGTGGTTTGGAAAGTGGGTGGGCTGTTGTAACATTGCACTCATGGCTCTCAGCCGTGAGCTGTTCAAAGGAATTTCCAACCATGAGTATTTTGAGCATTCAATATTTCAATTTTATTCGGTTAAAGCTGCTGCATATAAATGCTATATATATTCAACCCACAAAATACTAATTGATCTCAAGAGTTCAAAACCATAACAAGAAACACACTACCAAATCAAGGCATTAAAATATTTGATCCATGCCCACCACATCTATTCTCACAAAACAATTTTGCACCTACTACCAAACCACTAACTTGCTTATCCAATGCAACCCCTACTTTTTCCCTCTAGCACATTTTTTCTTCCTTCTAGTATTTATAGGCTCTAGCAGATCTATTAGTAAGAGCTACCAGAAAACTAGTTACCATAGCTGCTTCAACATGTTTCCAACATCTCATTTGGATTGATGTCTCCTCCTTCCTTTTGCCCCTTTGAGAGTTTGTATAAATTAATCAGTTTTTGATGAAATGAAGAAATCTTTCTCAAGTCATCTATTTCAAATACCAAAATAAAAAAACCCTAGAAAAACAAAAGATATTATTATTATTATTAAGTCATCTATAGTGCCTTTCAAGTAGCACAAAATTTACTTATAGCGAATGTTCTGTGATTGAAAAAGCTATATCAAGCCTAAGAGTGATGGTCACGTATTATAGAACCCCTACAATACTATGATATTTGGTACGGTCTTCAAAGACGTCCCATCCACTTTAGAAAGCTTATTGTTCACTGCCATTGGAGAGGAAAGTGGCTTAGCATGAAGCATGTGAGCTCTTTGTAGAATATTTAAAACATAATTTCTTTGGGAGATGAGCAATCCAAATTTCTGTTGGATGGATTCCATGCCCAAGAAGAAACAGGCTGGTCCCAAATCTTTCAGTGAGAAAGTGGCGGCAAGAGTGGAGACAACTTTGTCAACAGCTTGGGGTATATTTCCAGTTATAAGTATGTTGTCTATGAGGAGTTTGATTTTGAGCTTTGGAAACCAGTGGTAAGCAAGTGGGAAGTGAGTTGAGCATACTAGGCTCGTGGTGCTTGCCTAAGGCCAAACGGGCTTTGTACCATTACACTGGCCCATCAGGTTTTCTCTTTATTTTATAGAACCATTTTGTTCCTATAATGTTCATGTTGGGCTTTCAAGGTGGTGTATGAGATTCAGCAGGCATGCTAATAGATTCGAACAATGTAGATGGTTCAATAGAGGCGTCGTTGAACCCAATAAGCCCATCATTGTCGATGTTATTGCTTGCACTAGCCAAAACATGATCGGTGGTGTTGTATGACTCATGAGAATGTTGCCAAGGTGTTGGAATAGGAGCAACTTCAGTTGAAATGCCTGTGGTATGGCCATGACTTGAGTGAGAAGTGAGCAACGGACCTTGAATGAAGACACAATTTGGAGAAGGTTGTTTCATTAAACACGACATGTCTACAAATATATTCAAGCCCTATAGGAGGTGATAGTATTTGTATCATTTGTGCCTATCGTTGTACTCTAAGAGGTCACAAGTAGCAAAGAAGTTATCCGAAGTGGCTTGTTACTTAGTCGTTCGCTTAGGAAGCTAAGTTAAGGGAGTTCAACCGAGTTCGAGCTATGCCGCCGAGGGTTTTGAGGCCCCTTTTCCTTGGTGAGAAGGAAAGGGTGGCGAAGGCCTTAGCTCTATTGGCTTGTTCTCCACCCCCATCACAAATTGGTTAGACAAGGCTGAACTAAGCCGCCAAGGTGTTGGAGCCCCTTCTCTTAGTGGAGAGGGATGAAAGCAAAAGCCTTAACTCCTTTCAACCTATTCTTTACCCCTATTAAGGAAGCTAAGCCAAGGCTGCTTGACACCATCGAGGGTTGGGACATTGGCCTGGCTTGGCTCTCCTTAGGGATGTTTGGGGCATGAGCCTTCAGTTGGCTGAAGCCGCGAGAACACACCTAGCCAAGGTCATAGTGTGCTTCTTGCTTAGTGAAATACTTAGGTTATTTTTAGTGTGTTTGTTCGTGGTAGGCCAAAGTCTTTGGTTGATGCTTATAGTCGAGGTCCCCATTATTTTTTGCCTTAGCACAAAGGCTTAGTAGGCATATGGTCCACAAGGAACCGTGTGCTTAGGTCGCCATCCAGTTCGAACATGTAACCATGGAGGAGGTTGTATGCGTCGGCTGGTTGTGTGGCCGAGGGGTCTTGGCAGTTAGCGAAGTAAGAACTTATACACTAAAAGTTGGAGTTGGGGGGGAGGAACTTTGCACTTTATTCACTACTTGGTCACCAAGGAGTACATTCATTGATAATACACTCGAAGATTCTCTGAGTTCCATGTCTGAGGGACTGGTCTTCCATTCAAATATTCAAGTCGAAATGTGTCGGGGCTAACGACTTGCTTGATTCTGTAGAGACCTTCCCAATTGGGGCCGAGTTTGCCAATGCCAGGCTCAGTCACCATAACTTTTTTGAGGACAATGTCTCCTGAGGTGGTCCAGGGCGAGGAAGTTCCCGAGCCCAATCCGAGGTCCGCTATGGCCGAGGGCTAGTAGGTCAAACCTGTGGAGAGAGAAAGAGAGAGAATGTCAGAGGTCCCAAGTGTTGGCCCAAGGCGGGGATTCCGATGGTCAAGTTAGTATGGGTGTGATGAGAGGTGGACGAGGCCTGAGGTTGGGATGCTCAGACGAGGCCACAAGGGAAGCAAGGAAGTCCTTAGTAGTAAAGAGTCTAGATGCTCACCTTGGGGTGTCACCCCTATTTATACTTGAAACCGCCTGGAGGTAGGTGGACGTGGATGGCCAGGATGTGGTTCGGCTCTGAGGGCACAGCCATTCGAGGCCACTGCGTGCATTTGTGCTATTGGCCCTATGTCGCACATCGGCCTCTGCTCTACGCGCGCTCTCATTGGATCTACTCTATACACCGCCTTCCGCCATGCGCGTGCGTGCCATTGGCCCACATTGGCCCAAGCTATAAGTATCTACATCATTTATGATAATTTTTTTTGTAATTTTCATTTTATAGAAATTTATCCCGTGGATATTTTTGTAAATTAATTTCTTCTACCATTCAATTTAATGGAAATGGATCGTTATAGAAATGTGAAAGTAAAAGGGTCATTCTCACAAAAGATGGAGTTTTAATTGAAACCGATGGGGGCTAAATACATCCAATTATTAATTGGATACAAGTTGTAACGTCAAATCTATGACGAAGAGGGTAGAATGTGGAATCAGGGTCGAACTTTACGGGAGTTGTTCGAGAACCGAGCTTTATAAGAGTTATTGACAGCGCAATTAAAGGAATCAGAGTCCGCGTTAATTTTGTGTTTCTTCTGCGGGACTTTCCTTGTAGTTTCGTTTCTTTGCCATGAATGTTCGAGGAAGCGAGTGAGAATGAGAGGGAATTTTTTTTGGAGAATGACAGATAACCCCAGGGGCAGAATTTGTAAGCTCAAAACATATTTGGGGTAGGTATCAGCTCAGAATTGATGTTTATTCATGGGCAGGTATGGATGCACAGAGTATGGTTTTTGGATCTTTAAATGTTTATAATTTTGCAGTAAAAATCAAAAATCTGCATTAGGCCTATCCGTATTTTTTCGTTTTTTTTTTTTTCTGATAGAAATTATGACTCCTACTATACTTTATGCCTCAAAGAGAAGAAAACAGGTTGTCCCCATGCGGAACAGGGTGTGTTCAGCCTATCCTATAAATCTTAATTACACCATACAGTTGTGGCAGGTGTTTGATGCTAATAATGGATGGGCGGATATTAGTGTTACATGTGAACGTGTTTAAAATTTTAAATTGTTATATATCTGCAATAGAATTCAGAATTCTGACCTAAACTAAAATCGCAGATCCTACTTGATACTTGGACTCTGTTTCTTGAATACTTGGGTTTCCTCCACCAATTCACCTCTGTTCTAACGTCAAATCTGTGATAAGAGGATATAATGTGAAATCAAGTATTGAACTTTATGAGAGTTGTTACAGCCCTAATTAAAGGAATCAGTGTCCGCGTTAATTTTGTCTCCCTTCTGTGGGACTTCCTTGCCTTGGATGTTTGAGGTAGTGAGTGGGAACTGAGAGAACAGGGCAGGGGTTTGTCATTGCCTTGTAAGATAGAACTATAGAGAGAGAGAGACAGAAATTATGACCCTAATCTATAATATATACTTATCTAAAAGAATCTATATTGTAGAACACAATACTTTCCGACTCCTTATTTCTTAGAATTCACCCTCAATCAAAACTTAAACATGGAGCCGGCTTTTAAAATTCACCCACAATCAATTCAAAAATTCAGTTTCTTTTCTATTAGAAAATCGAATGTAATCACTCCTTATAAAAACATCCATATCTTCTAATGCAAGTAAAAGATACACAGAAACGCGTGTATCGATTTGGATAGTCCAATTTCAAGGATCATCAATTGAGGGATGGCTCTCGTTGGTATACTGTTCACTGTTTCGTTTCAGCATTCACATAAAATCAATTCCCACACCCACTGATTTGGCCAAAAAAGGGGTTTTATTAATGGGGTGTGTGTGAAAGGGAAAAAAAAAATTCAAGGATTAATTTAGGTGGTCCTCACACGGAACAGGGTGGTTAAACACACATCAAATAGAAAATCGTAGATCCCACTTCTTGTGCATTGGAACACGGTGTTGCCTTACTTGTGCCATCGATCTGCTAAGTAAAGTAAACAAGTATGGCAGAATTGCTGGTCTCTATTGTTTTGAAGCAATTGGGATCAATGACCTTGGATCAGTTCCAACGAGAGTTTACACTGCTTTGGAACGTCAGAGAAGACGCTCAGCAGCTGTCCAGTACGTTCACCAAAATCCAGGCTGTTCTGGAGGACGCCGAGGAGATGCAAGTGACCAACAAATCGGTGAAGGCTTGGTTACAGGATCTCAAGGACCTGGCTTATGACACAGACGACCTGTTGGACGAATGGATCACTAAAGCCCTTGTATCACAGGTGAGGAACGGTGGTGGCAGCGTTTCCTTTAGCCAGATGAAGAAGGTATGTCAGACCTACTTGACCCCTCCTTGCTTTTGTTTCAACCCAGTACCTTTGCGCTATAACATGGGTTATAGAATGAAGAAGATAAGGGAAAGGCTTGACAAAATTGCTATTGACAAAGAGAGATACCAGCTTACAGAAACTACTGCAACTAGGAGGAGAATAGACGAGAACCCAAAACGATCTAGAACAAGCTCTCAAGTAGATGCATCAGAAATTGTTGGTCGAGATGTGGAGAAGAAAGAAATAATTAGTAAGTTAGTAAGAGAGAGCAATCAACAACTGGAAATAGGCCCTCATCATACAATCCCCATCATCTCTATTTTTGGTATGGGGGGCTCTGGCAAGACAACCCTTGCACAGATAATCTACAATGACGATAAGGTCATAACTCATTTCCAAATGAGGATTTGGGTATGTGTGTCTCAGCCTTTCGACCAGGACAAAATTGCCAAAGCAATAGTTAAAGCTGTAGACGGAAATGCCAGTTTTAGAGATGGTATTGAATGGCAAGAATTGCATCAACAGTTGACAAACTCCTTAAAGGGGAAGCTTTATTTGCTTGTTCTGGATGATGTGTGGACTGACAAAGAAACAGACTGGAATGATTTGAAGCTTTCCTTCAATCATGGTTCACAAGGAAGTAGAATTGTGGTCACTACACGAAAGGAGAGTGTTGCAAAGATGAGGGGCACGACATACAGTCATCCTCTTGGTATGCTCTCTGATGAAAACTGCTGGAGGTTGTTGAGTCATATAGCTTTAGATGGGAGAACAGAAGAAGATTGTGCAAAACTGGAAGAGGTAGGCAAAAAAATTGCAAAGAAGTGCCAAGGTTTACCCCTTTCTGCAAAGACCATAGGTGGTCTACTCCGCAACAAAAAGCCACTTGAACAAGAGTGGGAACGTGTATTAGAAAGCTGTATGTGGGATTTACCAGAAGTTAAACAAGATATTCTTAATGGTGCTGTGTTACTAAGCTATTACGACTTGCCTCCCCACTTGAAACGATGCTTTTCATTCTGTGCTATCTTTCCAGAAGATTATAAGATCAAGAAGGATACACTCATCAAGTTGTGGATGGCACAAGGCTTCCTTAGTAATACTAGTACTACGGGAAAAGCACCAGAGTTGATAGGTGATGAGTATTTTGAAGAATTGGCCATGCGTGCATTTTTTCAAGATTTCAAAAGAGATGATGATGGCAATAACATAATATGGTGCAAGATGCATGATGTTGTGCATGAGTTTGCACAATTTCTCACAAAAGATGAAAGTTATGCAGTAACAATGGAGATCAACCATGGCGATGGTCAAAACTTCAACTTTCACAAAGCCCGTCACTTGAGATTACAATTGGCATTGGATCATCGGTCTACAAAGCCTGTTCCTTCAGTCATATATGAAGCAAAGAAACTAAGAACACTGTTATTATCCTCTTCAAAGGTGGAAATATCCATGTCTGACTTATTCCATTGTTTGACTTGTCTAAGGGCATTGCATCTGGGAACAGAGGACATTAAAGAATTACCAATGGAAGTGGGAAATTTGATGCATCTAAGATACCTAGATTTGTCTGATCAAAGTGAACTAAAGGAACTGCCAGAAACTATATGTGATTTATACAATTTGCAGACTTTGGACCTCTATCAATGTGTAAAACTACAAAAGCTACCCCAAGGGATCAGACAATTGACTCAACTGAGACATCTTGGAATTAAAAAAACTCCTCAACTAAAATATTTACCACAAGGAATTGGGAGATTAAGCTCCCTGCATACATTATGCAAGTTTATTGTCGGCAATAATGGTTTCAGTGGAGTAGGAATGGGATGTGAAATTGAGGAATTGAAAGATCTCAACAACCTCCAAGGGTCGCTGCATATAGAAGACTTGGGAAAAGTAGCAAACAAGAATGAGGCTAGCATGGCCAATTTGAAGAAGAAGCAACATCTCCGTCATCTAGAGTTATGGTTTGGTGGAGGTTATTACGAGGAAGACGACATGGTGAAGGAGAGTATGGAGGGTGTACTCGAAGCTCTCGAACCACCATCATACTTGGAAACATTGAGAATATGTGAATACATTGGAACTAAGTTACCAAACTGGATGAACCAGGTATTGTTGTCTAATCTAGTCATTTTGTGCCTAAATAATTTTCAAAACTGTAAGCAATTGCCATCTTCTTTGGGGAAACTACCATCCTTTAAAGAGATTGAAATAAGTGGTTGGAAAGAGGTTATATACATGAATTTTGAATTTTTTGGACTCAATAATACTGGTGGAGCTGTCACTTGCACTGCAAGCGATGATGGAGAGAAGAAGGTATTGTTCCCCAAGTTGGAAAAGATCTCAATCTATGACATGCCAAGCCTAGAAGAATGGAATTTGGGAATACAAGAGGAAAGCGGAGAGACTAATATTACCTTTATGCCATGTCTTCATACTTTGCATCTCCATTATTGCTCCTCCATGAATGCATTGGTTCACAACTCGACTGTTCCACCACTAAGGCAATTAGTTATAAAGAATTGTCCTAAATTGGCATCCTCTTCATTATCCCTTCCACAAGACCTTGAAGAGTTGAGGATAGAGGAGAAAACAGGGGACATTCGCATTTTAGAATCATTACCACCAATTAACAACATCAAGTCATTGACTCTTAATGGTGGTTATGTCTCATATGTTAGGTCACTCCCCAAAGGTTTAAATAATCTCACAATGCTCCAAACGTTAGAAATTGAACTTTGGGGATACATCACATCTCTACCTGAGGATCTACAACATCTCACCACACTACAAAAATTGAGCATCGACAGCTGTCCCAATTTGGAGAAACGTTGCCAAAAGGAGGTAGGAGAAGAGTGGAACAAGATATCCCACATCCCCAATATTAAAATCAATGGCAGAAAGATCCAGTAAATTATGATGGAGCAAAGTCTATTCTATGCAGATTGCACACAGAAAGGTAACTGAAATTCCCCCCCCNCCCCCCCCCCATTCAATTCCCTTTCCATTTACTCAGTGTTTTCATCACACTTCATAGAATAAATGTACAAAAATACTAAGAAACTCAAGTCACATACAGTCACTATGCACCCAGAAACGACATGATTTTATTTTATTCCCCTTCCCCTTCCCGTCAATAGCCAGAGCATCTCAAAATTCCTAAATTGTACTCTTTCGAACTCGAAACTGCATTAAAGTTTCAAATTAATCAATAGATTGCAACTACATCTCAACCACATTTCCCTAGCTGTGCTGGTTTTAAAAACATGTTTCTCTCTAGTGGTTTGATATTATGTAACATGAAGCTTATAATATTCAGATAGAGTTTCCAAACAAATTGATATTAATTAATATTTTTTATTTTTATTTTTTATTTATACATTGTACCCAAATCCATGAAATGTGACTATGTAAAGGGGATTTAAAGAAGTACTTGTATGAGAGTCTATATGAGATATTGGGGTGTATGTCATACACAGATGTCTTTGTTTTACAAATCATCTAGTTGTTGGTTTTGAAAATAAGGTTACTTTTCTGAATCAAACTATAAATATGTTCTGTTTGTTTTTTTTGTTTTGAAAAAGCACATGTTAAAGAACACCTTATTGTTTTGATGTTTATATGGCATTTTCAAATAAAAGGAAAAAAAATATTCATGTTAGGATAGAACCGCCTAAATAGCTGAAAGATGCAACAGACTAGACTAATGAAATCCACTCTCCCTTATTGTGCGAATTAGAAGTTGTGACATAAATTTGATTCACTTGTTACAACACTCACTTCCAAATCTCAACACAATCATAATTAACATTTGCTCTTCCTTCCCTGTGTGGTGGAGCTAATGGGTTCATTGTGTTAAAGGATTTCTTTGGGCTTGAAAAGAATGAATCTAAAGATCAATCTGCTAGACTTTTCAGCTTGCATGCTTTGGTTCATCTGAAAGTCTCGAAACAATGTTGTATTTAATAATGATTGTCCTAAGCTATGTTCAATTATTTTTAGTACTAATAGGTATTGGGTAGAGACGAAAAGAAAAGATCCATCAGCTTCGAACAATTCTTGGTCGAGTGGCAAGAGTTGATGAAAAGAATTTTTTGGAATCCAAGGCTGGGGATGTTCAAACTTGATTTAGATGTGGGATTTTTGAAAGAGGGTTGTGGTTCTTTGATTTGGTTTTGAGGGACTGGAGTGGTGGCAATCAAGAAAGTTTCTTTTATGCATGAAGCAGTGGCAATCAAGAAAGGTACAAAGTTGATGAAAATCCTTAACATCTCCTTGGTAATGGTGGAAAGTTGCAATTAGTCTCTTTGTCTCATGCCCATCTTCAAAGCTTGATTGCAAGCCTAAAACATGGTTTGAGCTTCAGAACATTCTACGTAGGTGTAATAACTTGCAAGTTCATTTTGCTTTCATTGGTCGTCAAGCTAATTAATGAAGCTGCCTATATGGCAAGCAAGAAAAGATTATATTTTGGGTGAAGCGCCCAGCCAAGGGCGCCTAGTCGCCCAGCCAAGGGTGCCTAGTCGCCTAGGCAACACCTTGACAAATATGATTTCACCTAAAGCAGATGATGAAAGTCATGATTCATGAAGTTGACTACTTGTATAGAATTTTTTTTTCAAATTATTGTAAATTTTATTTAATTTATTTGATTTTTTTATTTTTTTAACAATATAATTTTGTATTTTCAATTTGTAACTGTATTGTATTTTTTATATTTTATTAATTCATTCCATTTTCATATTTCATTCATCCAAGTATCCAATGATGCAATCATTGTATTTGTAATTTGTATCGTTCAAATTTAAATAAAATAAAATTCATATTTTTCTTCCAATTTGTTATTCCATCATTATTATTTCAATTTGGTTAAGTTTTTTTTTTTACTTATGTGTTAGATAACATAGATTTCTCATTTCATAATTTTTTAAATAGTTCTCAATTCCCAATGTTCAAAGGAAAGTTAAATATTTTAGTTTTACACTTTTACTTAGAAAATGAATCAAAAAATTCAAAAAAAAAACAAAAAAGGCAAAAAAACACAGTCTAACCTGGTTCGGCCCATGCCCAAGGCCTGCCCTGTGGCCCAGCCCTACACGGCTTATAGCCTAGCCCGACCCTGGCCTGTAGCACGGCATAAGCCTGGACTGTGGGCCATGCCGGGCTGACCCTCAAAAATTTCACCAGGGAGGGCGGCATAGCCCATGGGCCTACACCTCTACTCCCTTCAATCCAAGAAGTATATATTTAGTGCAATCTGGAGAGAATAGAAGAAATGTGATGAATAATTCTAAGAGGGAGCTTGTTGCCTTGATAGCTATAGGAGTAAATACAAATGGTGGAGAGAGAGAAGACTCAATTGTCATAGTTGGACTAACTTCGGTGGACACAGGGAGCTCAATGTTTGCTAGTATGTCCAATGGTCAAAAGGTATAATGACCGTGAACCATTAATTCACTACAAGTTCTCTTGATCCATTTGGAGCCATATGTTATAGCTATTTTCGTGCCCAATAGCTATTCTAAAATTTTTAGACTATCGTGGAGTTTCTTTTGGTGTGTTTAATTTTACCAATCTATCTGGAACATTGTTAGTAAATATTCTCTTACCCCCTCTCTCTTGTTCCTCTTCTAGATGATTTGTCTCTTTGTCATTTACCCTCTCTTCTCTTTCTTTCTAATTTCTTCGTCATTCTTTGGTGGACAACAAGTTGCCTACCTACTTATCCATCCCTATTTACCCAAAGCCCCTTGTGTTAAGTGTTTTAATCATAGACATAGTGTCTACATCTGTTTAGGGGCTGAATTCATTAGATGTACTAGTAAGCTTTGAATCCAATCGAATTGGGCTTAGAATAGGCCTAACACTTAAACACAACTAGACTTTGGTTTCAGCCACCCTATTAGCTCAAAGCTAATAAATTAATATGAAAAATAAGCCCATTAGGCTTTTGGCAAAAGGGTATTTTTCTCCTAACCTCTCAGTCCATAATATTTTTACACAGTTCATAGGTAAGGACTTCTTATTTGGCTAAAAAATGCAATGCCACACTCTATAGTCAGATGAATCCCGAAACTAAAACCTTTTTCAAAATTTTACATAAAATAAACTACTTATAAATATAAATATAAATATATTTGGCAAATAAATTTCAAAACACATTGAAATCAATTGTTGACAACTAATTCTTGAGACAAATTGCTATACCAATTTGACAATGCATCGGTACCAATCTTGGCATGATAAACTCCCCAAGTTTATTAAACAACTAAGAATATTTTAAACTAACATAACTCTCATAAATGTTTAGTTTAAGAGCTAATACATAGAAATATGTCTAAATACACATGAAATAATAATGATCTGATTTCATTTAATAAACAAAAGTTAGAATTCAATCAATCTGATTGAAGTTGAGGGCATGCATTGTATAACAAAGAGATTCCT